TCTCCCTCTCTCTCTCTCTCTCTCTCTCGATAGGATAACATGATGTGAACGAGTGATAGACTGACAGTCCATATGAAATGCAGTATTTTCAAAGGCAGAGGTAACCAAAAATATTCATTTCATGTCAAAATACCCCCATTTACTACTCAAATTGTATTCAGTATTATTATTGAAGGTATAAAGTGTCGAAACCGCACATCCCTTCTCAATTACACGAGATTATTGAAGTGCGAGCACAGATACCCTCCTAATCCTTCAGGACTTCTCCATGTTTGGACATAAATTGTCTGATAAATGGTAATCTCATCTAATAATTGAAGTGAATAAAGTTGCGCAAAGTTTTCATTCATAACGACAATTAGTTTGTAAAAATATACTCTATATATAAATTGATAATAAAACTACTCTCTACTGTTACATAAGAAATAAATAAATATAAAAGAAATTAAAGTATGTTTTATCCACTGATTTGTTGATAGCAACCGGTATATGAGTATTGATTTATAGACAAACTATTATTACACTTATATATAAAATAATAAATTTATAAAACATCTCGTTATAGAGTCAACAAAACGTATACAAAACACACTCTCTCTTGTGATATGAAAATTGAATTTTTAATTTCTATTCGTTTAGATATAATAGAAATAGAAAATTATGACTTCTATTGGATTCTGTGAATAATCCATAATTCTTGTCATTCTGTAGTGTTTGTACTCAACAATTAAATTAATAATGTTTAAGAATTTTTATGTAATATTCATTGTAACACTTATTGTGCTAATGACTACCGTTCCCGATATGGTAGAGGGTTGTGGGGCACCTACAGCCCCGTGCATACCATTCCCCTTTATGAAATCAACCTGTTGCAGCGGTTCGTGCTATTGGTTCAGGTATACAACAATTAATTTATTACAAATACAGTACAATACTGTATTGCAATTAAAAATAATATTTAAAAATTACAAAATATTCAAAATGATGTCTACATTTAGATGTCGGGACTACTTCTGGGACGACCCCAACTTTCCGAAGGACGAGTTCTAAGCACCCGTTCCCACCCACTCATGCGATCAACACATTTATGAACACAAACTACCTTGTTGATGATTTAAATTGAATAACATTGCAAAAATTAAGCACAATTTTCTATTCATTCTTATAAAATAGTTTTGAAAATAAATTGCATGATTACTACTCAGACACTGTTTTAAAATTAAATTAAATATTTACAGTGTAAATATCTATGAGAATTATGCTATTGTTTATTATTATATTATCTTATTATAAAATAATTTATATATTAATTTATCGATTCGTGTGAGCTATGATTGTAATTGATAAAAATAAATTTATTAAACGAGTTGTACACAATTAATTGAATCTTTATTGTTGAAATCTATCTTTTTAATTTTTCTGAAAGTGTTAAGCATTCAATTCAAATAAATATAAAATCAAAATAAATGTAAAATCAAAATAAATATAAAATCAAAACAAATGTAGTTTTTACACCAAAGCTTACTTAAAGCTATTAATTCATAATTAAATTGTGTTAAATGATACGTTAAGAAAAAAATAGTTATAAAATTAAATTAGTCACTATATAAGACTTATGAAATTAAAATGATATAATTATGATATTGTTGGCTAAATAATTTATATCTAAAATAGTATATAATTAAATAAATAATTGTTAATTGTATAGTGAAAATGTACTAGTGTATATTTTGTACTTAATGGATGTATGAATACTATGAATTTCATGAAAAAATTATTTCATAAAAAACTCACACAAAAAATTAATTATAAATAAAAGACATCTAATACTGATTGTCACGTCGACTTCGGCCAACCAAATAGGATGTCAGTCCAAAGGGCTGTCCATTCGCGGCGTAACCGCCCAGTGGTAGACCGAAAGGCACGGCTCCCCTATAGTGCCAGGGCTTGGGGTTGTCGTGTTGATAGCCCGGGTACCAGATGTCATAATAGCCGGTATGCACTTCTGGGGTATATAGTGGCCGTGGATTACCCGCTATGAAGAAGCTCTGACACAGAATTTGATCCAAATTGTGGACAGACATCAACACCACCACCAATGACTTGACCACAAATAGTGTTGATTTCATTTCGCTGTCAATTAATGAAACACTAAATTAATATTAAATTTAAATAGAGAATTGATTTTTAAATTTACTGTTTTACACAATTAATTAGTTGCTTATGAATACAAGTGAATGGAAAGGCATGTATAATAGTATTTAACGCAAAATATTATCGAGACAAAAGTTTGTAATTATTCATTGGCTGATAATTTATGGTTTTATTTCAATGGTACTTGTATTCAGTGTTTGTATTTGAAAAGTAAAAGTGTGTGAAAAACGTTAAGAATTTTCCAATGATTTCCGAAAATATTTGATTAGATTTGAGGTTAAAATCATAAACACATGAATGAGAAGTCACTTTAGCTTTTGTTTTATTTGCGAGATGTGTTCAAAATGTAGTTCAGTGTTAGAGTATTCAAGCTAACATGTAAGTTACATACCTGTGCTCACAGGTGTAAGTAATTTATGTAATTTTTCAGTCAATCACACATACACTTCAATCATAATAACAAATAACAATCGTATTGTAAACTAAATATTAAGTTACGATAAATCAATACACGTTAGGGATGTGTTTAATAGGTTGTCAATTAAAGTTATAAAGTTTATAAAATATACACTTTTACCGAATATGAGTTAACTTTAAATGTGAAAAACAAAAAAAAGTAACAAATTTCAAACACAAACTAATTTAATAATTGAATTTGAATTTGTAGTAAATATTGTTAAATACAAAGTATTTCTCATAACTTTGTTTAGGAAACCTTTAGTGAAATTTATGATAAATATGTTTTCTCAAAGTTTTCCTTCTCATCCCTTTCCACTTATGTTTTGAAAATATTTTAAGTAAATTCCATAAATTTTTATCTATCACTAAAATCTAAAACAGTTCCCATATATGAGTGTTTTTTGCATATGAACACAATACTGAGTTTTGTGGGAACATAACAACTTTTTAAAAATTGCATTTTACCCTTTTCAAGGATAATGGGAGGGGTAATGAGTACTAAATTTACAAATAATTCCAATTAATTAATACTTAATACTAAATACATAAACTATTCTGTACCATTAATAATATTGAGTTTCTAATGAATTTAGTACAAGTATTAATTTGAGATTTTTTATTGCGATAAATGAATATAAAAAGTAAATAACAAAAAACTATTAAATATACTAGTAACAATAAACAGTTATACTTTAGTAACAAAACTAGAAAAAGTAATGCAATGTAAATAATTATGAATCAAATTTTGGTCACAAATTGATGACTATTTCTTCTAAAACTCTTCGCCGATATAACAGACAGACGTCTATTGACGGCAAACATGGATGTGATCTCGTCTTTGGACAGACCTTTAGTCTCGGGCACAAAGAGTACGACAAATACCACACTAAACACACTGATGGCCGCAAACATCCAGAAAGTGCCAAATCTGGTCAACGTTTGCTCCATTATATCGAAGTTATAACTGCAGGCAAATGCTGTCAACCAGTGCACCGACTGTACGGCTGAGCTCACGTACCCAATGGCATAGCTGGGGGTTATCTCCGGGAACAACATCCAACCTATAGGTCCAAACCCTATGGAAAACGCCACCACATATAATATGATACTGAATATGGGTAGCCATCCCACTGTTGACACGATATGCTCTTCAGCTACCGGCGCTACCATAGTTGCCGCAGAGTTGAACGTGAAGTTTGAAACGTCTGTATAAGTATGGGGCGAGTATTGATAGTAATAGAGACCCATGAGTCCGGCGCTGACCACATAACCCACTCCCGACACTATTAACAGGATCTTACGGCCCAAACGGTCAGTGAGTAGACTGCCCACAAGGGTGGCGCCCACCATAGCGGCGCCCACTATAATGGTGGCCACACTGGGCCGTAGGGAACTGCCCGCCTCTATGAAGATCTCAGTCGTGAAGAACTCAACGGCACTGATACCCGACGCCTGTTGGAAGAACATGACGGCCAGGGATATGATGAACGGCTTATAGAGCTCCGGGCGTTTCAATTGGGATATCCATCGACTTAACGCTGAATTTGTTTGATTAGTGTAGCTATTGGTGGGGTTTGTATCGACACTCTTCTCCAGTTCCTTCAATTCAATCAACAAATCGCTATCTCTTTGTCGCAATCGTATCAATGACTGCATAACGAGGTCTGAGTCCTGGTATCTATTGATGAGCCAAACGGGCGATTCCGGCATTAATACCATTAGGACTGTCATTGTGATGGCCGCAGACATACCGACAATCGCCAAGTGATTCCAGTGGAGGAATGACCCGAAAATGAATGTCTGTTTGTTTGGCATTAAGAGATTGATAATCAGTTTATAATTCATATTTGTTATCAGGTTTAGCGAAGTTTTAATATTCATATTGTTATGTATTATTTGTTAAGCAATTTGTATTATAGTTGATTAGAAAAACGAAATTAATTTTGAAGTGTAAGTTATTATAATAAATGATTATTTATGATGATCATACATTGATCCCCCAACTGTCTGGGTACTATTTTATAGATAATTACTATAGTTATTGGTTTCTGATATACTATGAGATTAATTTGTATTTTTTCTTTAAAATTATAAAATACTATTGGATACTCACTATTAATATTCCGGTAACCATACAGACCTTTATCAAATTATAAAAATAATTAAGCATTAGTACAATTGCCACCAAATATCAAATACTTGATATTACTTGGAAAGCACAGCCTAATAGCCCTCTAATATTAGGCGTAGAAATCTCTACAATATATGTGGGAATCTAGGGTCGGATATGAGTTTAATTTCATAAACAAATAATATTTTTGAATCATATTTACGGCGCCGCTGACTAATCCGCAACAAAATCCAGTGACAACTCGGCCCACAATTATAAGGGACACACTTTTGGCCACAATTAATAAAATCCAACCCAATGTGAAGGGAATACCATAAAATATGAGTGCCTTTCTGCGGCCTATTATCTGTATAATAGGACCTTTGAATAGATATTTTTGCACACAATTAGAAATTTTGATTATACTCTCAATTGACTTAATATACCTGATATTAAGCCGCCCGCCAGAGCTCCCAATGTAATGATACTACCGATCCATGCCTTCACATTGGAGTCTTCATCAGTGATTTGAGGCACAGAATCGGGTCTCGAGAGGTCATCCAATGCCGGTGCGCTCCAGCCTTTCAATTGTAATGATGTCGTGTTTAGTAACATGCAGATGATCTTGGGGTTTTTAGTTGATAATACATACCAAATACACATCCCTTACATATGGCACCCATTAGTGCGGAAAATGCGGCCAAATATACGAGAAGTGATGGTTTTCTGTCCGAGTGATCGCTTACTTCAATATCTATGCCATAAAACGATGACTTTCTGCGATATATTACACTCTTTCTAACGCTGGAACTCATATTCAATGAAATAAGATTTGTGCCCTTTTCACAACTTTTTAATTATAAATTTTAATAATAAGTTATAATTTATTTTTTTAATGCACTAATTTTAATGTACTCTTTTTAATTTACTTTAATACTTTATAAACATATTTCTGTATTAATATAATGTAAGTAAAATATGAATTATTTGTAAGATTTTTATTTTTAAAATATCAAAAATAGTAATTTGTGGTAAAAGTAATCCTATAAAAATGTACGACAATTAATTTTTAATTTATATTATTTTTCGCAATTTATAGTTGCTTGTAATCTTTGCGTTCTCTCTCTCTCTCTCTCTCTCTCTCTCTCTTTCTCTCTCGATAGGATAACATGATGTGAACGAGTGATAGACTGACAGTCCAAATGAAATGCAGTATTTTCAAAGGCAGAGGTAACCAAAAATATTAATTTCATGTCAAAATACCCCCATTTATTAATTAAATTGTATTATTATTGAAGGTATAAAGTGTCGAAAGCGCACATCCCTTCCCAATTACACGAGATTATTGAAGTGCGAGCACTGATACCCTCCTAATCCTTCAGGACTTCTCCATGTTTGGACATAAATTGTCTGATAAATAGTAATCTCATCTAACAATTGAAGTGAATAAAGTTGCGCAAAGTTTTCATTCATAATCACAATTAGTTTGTAAAAAATATACTCTATATCAATTGATAATAAAACTAATATAATCCGCATTTTTCTTATCGCAAAACAAGTATTAAATGTATTTGTCGTTCAATTGTATATTTAATTCACAGAAAGCTAAAGAGTTTGAGTGTTTTTTCCGATTAACTGATTTAGTATTATATGCACTCATATATTATATTATAAGACAATTACTAGTATTTAAGTATAAAATAATCTCATTTTTTTAATAAATAAATATGTTTTCAATTAATTCTTGACAACACATTATCGTATTGTTTAATAGCTAATTAATAATAACATTTATTATAATGTTGTTTATTCTTGAGTTTAAAGGAAATGACATTTGCTTTATCTATAGACGTCTATCAATCGAAAAATATTTGTAATAATTTTATAAAAACATAATTATTAGAAATTAGATGATATGATATGGGTTAGCAATGAGGTTATAATTGCATTACTGGAAACAAAATAAATTAATAATAAGTAGTATAAATAAATTTGAAAATTTTGTATTATAAATTCAGTGGTGACCACTAAAAATTGTTAATAAATACAAATAAATAAATAGCCAATAGATGTAACTGAACATTGTAGTTAATGATAAGGGAACCGACATTTAATTTGAAAGTTTAATCTCATTTCAAACAATCGATTAGTCGACTGAACACAGAATCGACTTATGATTAACACCAATGGCTTTAAAAGTAATTGATTTTCGTGTGATTGCTATCAATAAAAGTAGTCTCGCTTTACGTTTAACACAAACAGACAATCGATAGAAAGAAAACTAAGAAATGAGAAAACATTTGAGTGTAAAATGATTTGCAAACAATTGAATGCAAAAAAAGCGATCATTTGGTGTGAAGTTAGTGAACGGAAAATATAATTTCACTTTTCATACCAATCCGTGAACACTGTGTTTGCATTCAGTATTCACTTTCACAGTCAGTTTTGTCTATCATTGAAGTAATAAAAGTAATTTTTACTCTTAATCCTGTGGTTAATAATTGTATAATACATAGAAAATAAATATAATATAAATATTTCTCATTTGAAATTCAAACACAATTCAATTGTATACCATTTGTTTGTCACTCAATTCAGTCATTATTTAAACAATTTATTCATTTAATAAACTAGAGGTCAACCCATAGAGTGAGTGCCGTATTGTTTATACGATTCATACGAGGGGTCAGTCCGTAGTGTTGTTGCCTTTCGGTGATTACATAATAAATGCAAAAAGTTTGACACAAATTGTGGGCCAACCTATCGATCACTGTCTGTGCTCTACAATCAATGCAAACTAACATCACTTTCATCGTAAAGTTTTATACAATTATTAATTTATTAAATTTAATTATCTTTAAATTAAATTTTTATCATTAAACTATTGGTATGAATATATTTATCGATATATAAATGTATACTATTTAAATGGTTCATCAAGTTACATTATTTAAATAGTTGGTAAATAGTTTGATTTTATTTTCTAAAAATTAAAATTATTTTATATCAAAATTTAAATGTTTTATTGTGAATATTTTTTTTCATATTAAATCTCTCTCTCTCTCTCTCTCTCTCTCTCTCTCTCCCAATAATTATTTTAATACAAATATAAAATCTCTCTCTTTCTCTCTCTCTCTCTCTCTCTCTCCCAATAATTATTTTTATACAAATATATGCGTTAAGGTCTGACAGTCTCCCTGTCCTTTTCAAGTGTTGGCAGTGAGTGATGGGTCGACACATAAAAACTCGCATTTTATTTGAAAATAATCTCTTTTTTCGTATAAAATATAAATCAATTTGAGAGCACAGGACAGGACATGACGTCTTATTCACATTTTATTAAATTCACGTTTTATATAACAAACATAAATCACATTATTGTGGAATTGAGACAATTATTGCCACATTTATATATTTCATTTTTAAACATTATATAAAAATAATATAACAATTCGTTTTAAGCGAAATATTAATACTAGCTATTGTACTTGGTTAAATAAAATTAGATTTAATACTAGTTAAGTTTTTATTTATAAGTATATACAGAATATTCTGTAGAATATGTTAAAGTTTTAAAAGTAATTTTGGTTTAACTCAATAGATGGAAACATACAATATGTTAGCTCTCTATAAATTCTGTGATTTAGAAAAGGGATAAGAATATTGCAGTTAATTATTAAAATTTAACAATATCATAACCTGAATAAACATTGAAACCTATTTATCGAGATCAATTTGTTGTCTATTTTAATGAATCACGACTTTCAAACTGATTTGTTTGATATTTATAATCATTAAAATTTAACCACATGTGGTAATCAAATGCTAAAATCTTTACAATTATAATTAACCTTAAACTTATTACAATTAATATATTTTTATTTAAGAAATTTTATTGTTAAGTAAGGATTATTATTAATAATAATAATCGATTAATAATTTATTAATTAAATCTGCTATTAAAATAGATCTTTTCTAATTATTTTTTAAATTTTGATATTTATCATAAACTTTAAATAAAGTTTTCAGAGTATTTGTTATATATTATCAAATTATAAATTTATTTTAATTAATCCATAATTAAAATTATATCATAAACTGTAAAACTCATATATTTATCAAATAACTGCAAAATATTAACAAAAATAATAAATATAACGTTAATTCATTTCAATTTCAACGTTATTTGATTCAACAAAATGATAATAAATATCATTATTTGTATTAATGGCTATAATATCATCGATTCTGTGATTCCCGTACATATATCGGACACCCAATGAAAACAAATACAAAAACAGGTGAAAGGCACCGGTATATGCGATGGTGTTGGTTAAGCCACCATAGAAATCATACTCGGCTAACGTTGCCTTAACAATCACCTCAAATATGATCGGGTATTCCCTGATCAGCGTACGACTAGTGCCGTCCCTATACATGAATACCCTCTCAAAAGTAGTGTATTTCCATTGCGAGCGCCAGTCGTCTACCCTTTCGAAAGAATATTCTACTGAACAGTCTTTCAATGAATGAAACTCTTTAAACAAACTCCAGAAGCAGTTCCAGTCGACGATGATATTGATGGTGGCGCCCAATCGGGCCAACACATCGTACGACACGTTTGAGTTGTGGCTATATTTGATGACATCCGCCAACACAAACACCGGACAGTGGGGGTCAGCGGTCGGGTGGTAGCGATGGTATGTGAAGTATTGGGCGCTGAAGTCCAACTGATTGCTCACGAAAAGGTTTTGTCCGCAAATACCACTGAATTCTTTAGCCATAGGGTGGAGCTGTTTGTGTCGGACAGTACGGACCGGTAGCCTATCAGCGGTGGCAGTATTCTGTCCACAGGGCACCAGCCTTTGAGACAGGTCAACTTATATTTGTATGATTACACGTGTCATATGAATACCTCTGATTTGACAGGTGTGCTCATAAACCCAATGCGAGTGATCCGTATTATTTTTATTGGTAGGAAAGTCAGCCAAAACACACCGTCCCGTTTGGATGCCGTGCGGACTCAGTCGACCGCTTTGGCAGCGATTTCTACTGGGATTACAGACGGCTTTGTTGACGAGTGGGTGATCCGGACAGGTGGACAGTGTCTGGTTGGCAGTGATGGCCATATTTGTCATGACATACACCTGATTGGGGTAATAGTGCGCGAAGTCCTGCGAATCCCAAACGCGATTGTAATTCACAATCTCTTGTGGTTTCACGTAATTTAAGTCAAACTCCTGAGTCGAGTGGTTCACTTCGACCGCACCTCTAATCTTCATATTATTAGTGCTTTTATTTGCAAATATATGATAAAAATTAATGTTTATTTGTATTGATCTGTGAATACCTGTAGAAACGATCGGACGTTTTGATGTATTTCTGATGGTATAGCACCCAACATATGATGAGTATCCAGGTTATGGTCACAAATGTATAGTATGAAATGTTTAAGCATTTGTTATTCTTAAATCTAATCAATTTATGCAAATGATAATCAAATAGGTCCATTTTTTAGATTTTAAAAATAGTTTTTATTATAGCACTAAATATACTTTACACATTAACATTATTAAAATAAATGTATTATAAATTATAACATTATGTCATAGTTATAAAATTGTTGACATCTAAATATTTTTATGTGCATTTCCATTTGCAAATGTGTAATTTTATGTATAAAATATTTTTTCAAAATATTCTTAAGCATTGCAAGATATTATTAAAAGTTATACAGTATGTTTAATATATTTTTTAATAGTGATAATTGTAAGGTATTTATATAATAACTAATAAAATGTTTAGGAAATAAATGAAATCCTAGTTTGAATTTAAGTGTTTGTTTTTGAAATAACCATCACTTATATCCGTTTCACATTACAGTATCTAGTATAATTTTACATAATTTTTCAAACAATAATATTTTATAAGTACTATACCACTTAGTTGTTAGTATTATAATTATGAAATAAAAGATTAGCTCATTTAAGTCTTATTTCTGTGATATTATTAATAAAACACTTTATTGCTACTAATTTAAATAAAGTATTCAAATCAAATCAAGTTTATAATCATTTTAATCAATAATATCCTTATACAAAATTAATGACAATTTTAGTCCATATAATAACTAAATTATTTTATACACAACATTGCATTTGTATAATACATTACATTGTATTATCCACTCATTCATACAATCTTATTGTTTAGATAGTGCTGTATATTATAAGATAACATCTAATATTTTTAACAAAACTAAATTATATAAGGATCAATACTTTTTGTTTGTAGATTTTTTTCATAATTTTTAATAATATTTAATCTTAATCTTAATATTTAGTAGTAAAATAAATTTCCCACAAAAATGAAATTTAACATAAATTCTTTAATTAATATCATTTAATATTATCACGTGAGATATTTAATAAATATTTAAATAATTACTACTATTATTATTTCATTAAAATTGCTTGAAAAAGGACTTAAACTTTTTGCCAATATTACTGCCGCCGGCTAAAAACCCGGACCCTTTCGACTTAGACTTATCGCCAAAGTTTTTGCCGATTTTCTTGAAATCTGACCCAAAATTACCGCCAAATTCTTGACCGAAATCCTTGAAACCGGCGCCAAAACTGGTGCCAAAGTCGGCAAACATTTGCGAGAATTGGTGACCAAAAGCCTTATTAAATGCTTTCGATTGCTTGGAGTCCGAGCGCCGGCCTATCATCGAAACCGACTCCCCGTTCGTCGACTCCAACGGCAATAAGTCGGACACAGATTTGTCGTCATTTAAAGGCATATACACTGAAAACACGTGTTTCGGGCCATAAGTGCCGTAATAATCAATGACCGGCTGTTTATAGAGTAGTGGTGTCGACTCGGATGGCATGTAATTATCATCATTTCGTCTTTGGATTAGACATAAAGTGATGATTTATTCACAATCAGTAAATTTAAATTCATGAACAAGGTACTCTACTTACGGGTTAATAAAATTCCTATTACTATATGTATAATAAGGCACTAAAATATACGATTCCGTTATTATTGAACTCAAAGCAAATGTCAAGAATTGTAGTATTAGTGAGAAATACATGATATTTGATTTATTATACAAACTTATGGTTTAAACACAAAACTAAACAAATGAAAACTAAAAGAAAACACAGAAAAACTAAAACATTTATGTGAATAGTCGTTGACTTATAAATGCAATTATCGTAAAGTTTAAGAAACGGATCTGATTTTGTCGATAACCAACAAAAATAGTAAAATAAAATCAGTTTTGCACCAAAAATCCGCACCTAATCTGCAGATCTAAATGCATGAGCGCACCGGTAGGTTCTGTGGCACCTCTTTTCCATTTTGGCATTCATATAATGGTATAATTATCAGTACATCTTGTTTTCAATTGTCAAATAATAGTAACACACAATATATATGGAAATATTTACTACTCCCGTGACAACTGATGGCATATTATATAAGATTAAAAATAGTAGAAAAATATTTTTAAAGTTCATTCAAAATACTAACTTATAATATTTAAGTATTGAATTAAATAATATTGAAAATAAATTAATTTTAAAAATATTCAGC